AGCTGTTGAAATTCCACATTCACAGGGCACAACAAAGGATGTCCAGCTTGGCCAACAAGCATAGGGTTGACAGGAACTACAATGAAGGAGATTGGGTTTATCTCAAACTTCAACCTTACTGACAGATCACTCTTTCAAACCATTCGTTTACTAAGCTTTCTGCTAAGTACTATGGTCCATATCAGATCTTGCAGAAAATTGGTCCAGTTGCCTACAAACTCTCACTTCCTTCTCATGTTGCTATCCACCCTACTTTTCATGTTTCACAGCTCAAGCCTTGTTATGCTATACCTGATAAAATCAACCATCCTCCAGTGATTGATGTTACTAGTCCCTACTGTGTGGAACCTCAGGAGGTCTTGGGCAGAAGGATGATCAAACGAGGAAACAAGGCAGTCCCTCAAATTCTGGTTCAATGGTCCCAAATGACAAAGGAACAAGCTACTTAGGAAGATTATGCAGTGATGAAGTTGAAGTTTCCCTCATTTCTTCCTTGAGGACAAGGAAGGTTTTTAAGGGAAGGGCAATGATGCAAGAAAGAATTACGCTGGCTGGGAGGAGTGGTACTCGTCGCTTGCGGAGGTGTACCTGACCGTTAGAGTTAGTTGAATGTTATTAAAATAGGAAGTTTCAGTTGTTACACTTTAGTCCTCTTAAGTTTTAATTTATGTTTACAGAATTAGCAATTGAGTCTGTAATTTCTTTATCCAGGACACTTTTGGTCCTCGATAGTACTGTCAGTAGAGAGGTGTACGACCTTATCCCTTAGTAGTGGTCCTGCTGAGGATATTCCTCTATATAGTGTAATTCTCTGCATTTTTGGCAGGACATCAATGAAAATTCATATTAGTTAACCCTAGTATAGCTTTTACTTAGCATTTCCTCTTCTTTTCTTCCCTCTCCGACTGTTCCATTGCCTTTGGCACCTTTTTAAACAAAGAACTAAAGTAAAAAAATTTAAAATAAAATCCATAAGCGAAGCCGAGGCCAGGCACGGTAGGCAGGAAACAAAATACCAAGAAGTGGAAAGTAGAGATTTTAGTTCGGTAATATACTAATATTAATGGAAAAATGAAGCAAACTCCTAGAATCAAATTATTAAAGATGAAGCACAGTTAAAGGTGTAATTTATTTTCCAATAATTAAGACTGCAGAATGGAAAAATGTGAACTTAACCTCTGAGGAACTTAGTGTTAAAATCTCTTCTCACCCTGCGATGCAAAATTCTTCACTGATTTGTTGGAAGCGCTAGCTGACAAATTTAGGGCAAACAACATGCAATAACTTTTGGCAGCGAAAATCTATATCAATCTATTAAGAAACTCAAAGAGAAGAAAAAATATTTATGCGAGAGAGGGAAAATCTAGAGAAATAATTTTTTTATAAAATGAACGAAGGAGAACAAAAAGCACATAAGTGGAAGCCAGACGTCGTAAACAAATCAAGAGGGTACGTGTCACCAGAGGAGGAAAATTGAAGTGCTGCAATTGAAGATAGGCACGTGTGCGATATAAATTATCAGGCTTTTAGTAGAATTGTTTAGTGCAATGTTCGTCCCCCAAACTGTTATTGCAATGTTCGTCCCCTAAACTGTCATTTCTAATATATTGTAATACAGTTTTCTTTATTATAGTTCAGTGTTGAACTTATTTGAAAAAATAATTAGTATTATATTTTCAGGTATTTTTAAGTTACTAAATTTTATTAAATATTTATTTAATCTAAGCGATTGTACAACAATATCAGAAAAAGGTAAGTCTTTAATATTGCATAATGATATGACAAAATGAGAAATAACTAAATGGTAGTGTTCTCTTTTATTTTTATTAGCAAGTAGGTTAATTATACATTTAATATGGTTAAGTAGAATAAAATCTATTTGAAAAATATTTACGATACTTATGTATTTAACCAAAAAATTGTGGAATTATTTTAAAATAATTGATAAGGTTTTCCAAAAGAATTAGACACATATTTTACATATAATGGTAATTCACTATATACTAAGTATAGAACGACAATGGCAATGATACAAATGCATGGAAAATGTAGAGGTGAAACACAGTTTAGGTGGGGATGGGATGCGGGGCCACGATGGGAGTACAAAGTAAGACAACCACTGTGAGAAGTACGTAGTGATAGTTGATGACATAAGCAAAGGTCAATTTAGTAAAGATACTCAAAAATTTGTACAGCAGCTACAGTAATATTCCGTTTTAGCCAACTATAGTGTTCCATTACGCCTGAAATGACCAAATTATCCTTTAAATCCCAAGCACACATATCGTCCAGCTGTGTGCTAACTCCCCCTTATTAGAAAGTAGAAATTTGAAGGGTGTGACTGTGTGAGTATGACTTATATATATTTGGAGCAATTGAAGAGGCCAAAATGATATTGAATTTCTTCCTCAAATGGACAAGAACTGAAATGATACCTTTATTACACAAAAGAAAGTTTACGATATAGAACTGCATATGTCAATCCTCTCTTTCTAATAATTAACTTCAATTTCCATTAAACACAAAGGGTAGCGTCTTATGCACTGAAAATTTGTCCTTTCTGGTCCAACAAGATAACACACGTACTACTTTAGAGTGGTCTAAAGGTGAATTTGTCAAAGTTCAGTTACGTAATCAAATTATATTTTTCCTATTTTGTCCCTTCACTAACGGTTGTTCTATGATTGTTGAGAAAATGAATATATTAGGGGGAAATTTGTAAATAAAATAAAAGGATAAATTGATAAAAGTAGTGCGCGAATTATCTAAATTTCACCCGATGAGAATTACTATCATGAAACTACCCATGTATGTTCAGTGTTCTACAATCATAAAGTTTTAGATAATTTTATAAATATGTATGATGTTAAAATTCTAAGAGTTTGAATACGAATGATGTAACACTCATTTATTGTTGCTTTATTATTATTTCATTATATAAATTAGTGTTATAAAATAATTGGAAAGACCTCAATCTTTAAGGGTCATTCATCTTTTCTGGCCAAATTACATAACGAGAAAATTTCTCTAATATGCCACCCGACTCTTAGACCCTTTTCAGGCAACTACAACATAATCTTCTTTAACATTCTGCTGAGAGCTAATTGAGGAAGATATTAAATAATACTGCCACATGGCCTTTTACTTACAAGGGTGGGAATTCAAATTAATCTACAGTTATATTTAAGACTCTAAGATTGGACTGTGCATATTTCTTAAGACTTAACTTTGTCTATAAATAGAGGCCTTTAGCGCATTCAATTCATCCCAATACAAGCAGTAGAGCTAAACATTGCAAGAATAATACTACGTAGTTGTCTAATCGAGAAGATTTTGTTTCAATCCTTGATAGTGACTCTTATGGCTCTTAACCATTTTACTATTTTCACATATTTTACCCTTTTCTCTCTTCTGACTATTTCTTGCTCTTGCTTCAATCCTAAACGTCTCAACGTATCAAAAGTTAACTCAAATTCTGACTGGTCACCTGCTGTTGCTACTTGGTATGGAAACCCTAATGGCGCAGGAAGTGATGGTAAGCTACACACACTAAATTTTCTTGTTAGCCTCTGAAAATTGTAGGAAAAAGAAAAGAGAATATTGGTGCATTAAATGGTGCACATAATTTTATATATTAATTTTACTAATAATTTTTTTGGGGTATATTTTTGTGTTGTGCAAAGGTGGAGCTTGTGGGTATACTAACGCAGTAGATCAACCACCATTCTCCTCCCTAATAGCGGCTGGCGGCCCTTCCCTTTTCAAATCAGGCAAGGGCTGTGGAGCTTGTTTTCAGGTGCGCGACAAATTCAGTACTACTAAGAATTTAAGCTATATGCTGACAATATCAATAAATTTATAGCAAGTTAGTTAAATTACATTCTATCAGGTGCTAACAATTACTTACATTATTCAATTCCCTTTTCTTCACAAATAAAAACAGAAAAAATATATTATTCACCAGGTACACATGCATGTGAAGGCAAATAGAGAGGGGGACGTGATTAATTAATGATTTTTGGCTTGTGTAAATAAACAAATGCAGGTAAAGTGCAAGGGAAATGCAGCATGCTCAGGAAAGGCAGTGAGGGTGGTAATAACAGATGAGTGTCAGGGAGGACCAAGTGTAGTAGAATCAGCTCATTTTGATTTGAGTGGCACTGCTTTTGGAGCCATGGCTCTTTCAGGACAAGCTGATCATTTGCGTAATGCTGGAGTTCTGCAGATTCAGTATAAAAGGTGAACTTTCATACGCACTAATTTGTTAATATAACCTTCCCATTGTGTAAAGATATATGGACAGAAAAGATAACAGCCAGTTTGAAAATAATTCAAGGACCTTGCTTCTTCTGCCCGAGGAAATACCTTATAATATATACATAGATGGAATATATAATTAGAAAAAAAATAGCCCCTGTTCTATCCTTGATCAGAGATTTTCCGTGAATATGAAGAAGAGTTTGAAGGTGGAAGAAGGATACAAACTCTATTTAATAGAAATTAGTACTCACTTTTCAACTAGTGTTAGGCTATTTGCTATTTTAAAATGCATAAAAGTGGACACTATAAATTAAATAGCCTTGCGTTGTTCTTAAATATTCCTAGTAATATGCCTCAATCATAGTTAGCAGTACTTAGTAATTATTATATTATGCTCAATTCCTATCATTTGTTATAAAAAATAATGAGAAGTTGATCTCGTAATAATTAACGGTACATGCAACAGAGTGGACTGCAACTATCCCGGAGTATCACTGGCATTTCACGTAGACTCAGGTTCAAATCCCAGCTATTTCGCAGCTCTAATCGAGTACGAAGACGGAGACGGAGATCTAAACAGAGTTGACCTGAAACAGGCCTTGGATTCAGATACATGGCAGCCCATGCAACAGTCGTGGGGTGCGGTGTGGAAGCTCAATTCTGGCTCCTCCCTTGTGGCACCCTTCTCTCTCAAACTCACCGGAGAATCCGGCCAGACTCTGGTGGCCAACGGCGTCATTCCGGCTGGTTGGCAGCCCGGAGAAACTTACCGATCACTTGTCAATTTTAAAGTCTAGCTTAATGCTAAACAATGTGCTGCTTTATCAGTTACTGCACAAGTCAATATGGTACACTGTGTTATCAAATTATTATTAGAATAAACTATAAAATAGATAGACACAAGAAAAATGTGGCTGTTGTGTATTTTTAATATTAATACCACGCCCTATTTATGGTTTAGGGAATAGTACGTTCTCAACGTTCAGACTACCAGTTCCTAAATTGTTACTTTATGTATTAAGTATCTCCTTATCCCATCTTTATATAATGCATGTGTTGAACTTACTCATATATGCTTGTTATGGTGAAAAATATTTAGGAAATAGATTTCCAATCTTTGGTTACCTTCAAATCTAATAAATGTTTCTCGAAGTGGGGATGATTTTCCATATTTATGAGCAATATTTATGTTGTTTTAAAAATACTCTTGTTCGATCTCAATATTAATCTTTAATATCGAGAAACATCATGGAAACATTACCTTACACCGAAAAAAGCATATTGGGCTCTCGGTATTGGGTTATTGGCCGGTTAATGGTTCGGTAGCGGTTTAGTATTGTTTTACTATTGGGTTATTGGTTCGGGTCTTAATTTGTCCAATTTTATTAATGGTTTAACCGATAATCTAATGAACTTTATAAAAATACAATTTTACCTTTAGATATTATTTGCCCTTAAAATGTGTAACAATTAAATTTGTATGCGGTTAAAGGATACGTGATTCAATTTAACATGAATAGTCTATGGACATAAAGTAATTAAAGTAAAGGGAAGCAGAATAATCAAACTAAACGTGATGAACAATCGAGACTAGCCTTTTAGAAGAACACTGCTCGATAGAGCTCTCGGGACTAGCTCGGGTGTAACCGAATAATTAAGCAGCTGGAGAACACAATTAACAATAGCTAGCGAATGAAAATAAACTTTTATTGCTTTGATATGCGTGCCAATAGTGGTTTAAAATGAAAAAGTTTTTCCTTTTATATAGTAGGAGAGTTTCAATCCTAGTGCAAGTCTAAATAAGGTAAAATCTTCTCTTTTCGGTAAATATCAATCTGCAGTTGACTTCTAACAGACCGCCTTTTAAACTTCTAACTCGGCCACGGATGTCGAGGTGGTCGTACTTGAAGGGGCCCCGAAACCTCCACTAAAGAATTTCATCCCCGGAGGTTGCTCAATAGACAATGACTTTAAGGTCGAAAGTGGCCGAGATGATGAGGTGTAAAGGTACATGTGCTCCATCACCGAGGACACTCTCCCGACGGTTCGGGAGGACTGTAAGTGGGGGGGGGGGGCAAGGAAGTGGTCGTCCCTAGCCCTGATGAAGACATCATCACACATGTGGAGCGGTATTCAAGTGTTTATACATACCCCTTCACGCTCGGCCCGATGGATAGAATAGTCATTGACTTTTGCAAAAGGTATGAGGTCTGCCTCGGGCAGATTCATCCGTCCGTTTGGAGGATCGTAAATCCTCCTCCATCACTTCGTCAATAACACGGAGGAGCCTCGGTTTACCATCGATCATCTGCTCCGCCTCTAAAGTCCCCGAATCTTTCGAGGAGGATTGATCAAGCTCGTCCGTCGGGCAAAGAAAGCTCCATTCTCAAGCATTGATGAAGACATGGATTGAGGCTAGCAGGGGAGATTCGTTCGGGTGAAGACCGAGGATCGCATTCCCCCCGAGTTCATGTTGTTCCCTAAAAAGTGGAATCTAACAAGTAAGTTCCTCTCTTCTTCAGTATTTAGCATACTTTTCGGGTTTTGTTCTTCTTTCTCATCGCCTGGTTCTACCGTTCTGCAGCGTTCACCCAAGTCCCCAGTGCAGCTCCCCGCTTCAAAGAGTGGGTCGAGGAGATCTGCAAACGGTTATCGTACTTCGAGTGCGATTGATGCAAACTCTCAAAAAGCAAGTGGGCGGCCCGTTCCCATGGTGAGTATTCTTCCCCCGATTGAATTTCCTTTTCTATTAAACTGTCATATTTACTAAGTCCCCTTCTTCCTTCCACAGGTTTGTCCAAGACCACTGAGCTTCGGGCAGTGGATGAGGACGAGGCTCCGTCCTTGATAAGTTAGGATTTTAACGTGTTTTATGCCCATACTTGCCTACACTTTTATCATAAAATTGCTACAAAATAGTCTCAAAACGCTCATAAGTTGCACTTGATTGCAGGTTTGATCGACAAAGCGACGAAAGTCAAATATCGACTCAGAAAGGAGTGAAACCTGCTCAAGTGTCAAAGACCAAGGAAGTTTAGGAGAAGAGGCCCTAGTGCGGACCGCGCAACTGTGAACGCGGCCGCACTAGGAGGTTCAGAGAATGGAAAAATTAAGGGGAGGCTACGCGGCCACGGTCAATCCAACGCGGTCCGCGGTCAGGCTCCGCGGCCGCGCTACACTTTTACGCGGTCCGTGCAGCAGAGATTCAGAGAGCCTAATTTTGACCCTTTTCAAGCAATGCGGCCCGCGCTCAATTCTGTGCGGCCGCGCCGATTTTCACCGCGGCCGCGCTGCCTTTTTTACACGGTCCGCGGTCCTCAACTTCAGAGAAGCAGAACCCAAGAGTTCAAGAGCCAGTGCGGCCGCGGTCATGTTTGCACGGTCCGCGCTGACCCCGTAGGGTATTTTTGTCCAATTTTTCCAGCCGAGTATAAATAGAACCTTTTTCTGTTTTAGGTTAAGTTTGGTTTTTCTAAAGCTGCTGAGCTCGGGAGAACGCCTAGTTTAGCATTTTTGGCATTCTTACTCTTCAATATTGTATTTTCTTCTTAGCAATCAATTAATATGTTTACTTCTTCATCTATTTCTTTAATTTTTGCATCTAGCATGAGTAGCTAACTCACAAGCTAGGGTTGTGGCTCAACCCTAGTGTGGGTAATTGATGGGTATTGCCATCTAAGGCTAGATTGATATTGGGTGTTTGCTATTTGCGTAAATTTTAGGTTTTAATTAAGGATTGGTGGTTGCTAACACTGATTCTAGCTTGGTGGGTTTAACTCTTCTTGAGAAAGAGAGTCTATAACCCCAAAATTGACCCAACAAGGAATTGGGATGGACCCATGAGAAATGGTAGTCCCAATTAACGGGTTAAATCTCGAGAGAGTAATCACCCCACTTGAACCCTAGTTGCTTGGTTTAATTTGCCTACCCAATTGGTCTCGAGAGAGTCAATTAGGCAAAATCACTCTCTCTACCGAGAGGTGTGAGAGTGGGTACAATTGTGCAACGGTTATAGCATAAGCCCCAAACATGTCAATCTATCCTTAGTAGCATCTACCCGTTAATTAGCCACCTAGGTAATGCCACGACCCTAGTGCCCTTCTCTATATTAATTACAACTTAGCAATATTCCCGTAGCATAATTTCGCTTCAATCACTAGTCTTATAATAGTAGATATAAAAATCAAAACCAAGGATGGTTGAAGTGATATTAGAAGCACAACTGCAATTCTAGACTAAACAGACAATACAACTCCATTACTAGCTCCCAGTGGAAATTCGATCCCGAACCACTATTCGGGTAAAAGCTGTTGCAACCCGCTCTTCCTACCTTAGTGTAGTGTTGAGTCGGCAGCGATCAACTTTTTGGCGCCGTTGCCGGGGAGCTTACGGTGTTGACTATCTGTTTAGCTCGTTTTGTGTTTTGCTTCTCTTTCCTTCTTGTTTACTAATTTTGTTTGTGTCGATCATTCAGGTACTATGGCTCTTAATGCAAACGACCCTCTGGCACGTGAAAATGCGGGGGAGGAGGTAGATGATCTTGAGCCCGAAGAGGTTCAAACCATCAAGTTCCACGTAGAGGCCGTCAGGCCAACGCAAATGACAACAATCCTATTCCAGACCCTCCTCCGCCACCGCCAAGAGCAGTCCCAAGAGTTCTACCAAATCAAGGGTACGCGAGTGCCATTGTTCCTCCCTGAATCCGGGCGGGGAACTTTCAAATCACAAATGTTATGTTGACCTTGCTCGAGCAAAGAGGGTATTTACGGGCTCCTCCGATCAAAATGCATACAAGCACTTGAAGGGGTTCGTAGATACATGCTGGGGCAGCAAACAAACAACGTGTTCGAGGATGCGTTGAGATTGAGGCTTTTCCCGTTTCTCTTCGGGTAAAGCGTTGGACTGGTTAGAAAGGCTTCCAAATCATTCTATCCACACATGGGATGAATTGGCGACAAATTTATTGCCAAGTTCTTTTCTCCAAGTCATATGGCGGCTCTTCGGGATGAGATTCTAGCTTTCAAACAAATGCCAATGGAACCTGTGCACGAAATTTGGGAAAGATATAGAACAATGGTGAAGAGAGTGCCCTAATAACGACATGACCGAGGCGATGATACAACAAACCTTTTATCGGGCATCAACACACGAACCAGTGCATTGTGAACCAATTGACCGGGGGAACTTTATGAAACTTTCTTACCAAGAAGCATGTGATGTACTTGATGAAATGGCCGACACTCCTTCAGCATGGCAAAGCCGAGCGAATGTGCCCCAAGGTGACCCACGGTCATCCATTTGCACAAGGAGTTGAACGATCATGGCCAAGCTATTGTCGAACTTACAACAACTATGAATCAATTGGCGAAGGCGCAATTGCAACAAGTCCAAAACCCGCGCCAAGTCAATGCAGAGTGTCTCTATGTTGAAAAGGAGGCAAAGAGGGCAACAACAACCTCAAGGTAATGGTGAGCAATTTGACAACAACAATGATGGTGGTGGTTATTCGAATGAGTGCTATGATGATCAAAGTGAGGAATGCCAATATGTCAATAACTACCAAGGAAATAGAGGAAATCAAGGGAATCAACAATGCGTCCCCAAAGCAATTGGGCAATCAACAAGGCGGCGGTAATTGGATTAACAATAACCAACAACAAGGCGGTAACAATTGGAACAACAACAATCAGAACAACAATTGGGGTAATCAAGGTAACAATCAAGGCAATTGACGGGAACAACAATAATTGGAGCAAACAACAATAACAATCAAGGAGGGTGGAATAATGGTGGTAGGGGACAAGGCTTTCAAAGGCCCCCCATGTTCCAACAACCAAACAATC